TAAAAAGTTTATACAATAACATTTTCAGCGATGGTAGTTTCAGTATCTCATTTGGAATATTATCCATACCAGTACTTTTCTTATTTTTCAATTTCGATATGGCATACCCAACCTCTTCTAGAGTAATGGTACTGTTTAACAACTCGTCTTCTTGAATATTCTCTTTTGCTATATGCTTATTTTCGTCAAGCTCAAACAACGCGTTAATATTATCTACTTCAATTTTATCATTATCATCTTTCTTGTAAACTGTTTCAAAATCTTGTTTCCACTTTTCCAATATAACATTCTTATCTGTTGAAACTTCATTATTTTCCAGTATCACAGATGCAAAAGTATTCATCGATTTCTTTTTTGGAAAAGTCTCATTTAAATATTTCCAAAATGACGATCCATCGTGTCTAAAATTAGACAAATTGTTACGTATATTAGAATAATGCTGCCGCTCCTTTTGTCGTAATAGCTTATCAAAATCTTTTCTGATTTGTATATAACGCATTCTAAGGTTTTGCTTATCTTCATGCTTTCTAGTCTTTGAATACAGTCTTTCAACATTGACAAGTTTTTTTCTCATCTCAGATAGTTCAGCATCCCACCATGGTTTATTTCTTTTTATTAAACGTTTCTTTGATTTGGGTTTAACTTCTTTGAATGGTAAGCTTTCATCCATTTCAGAATGAATTATATCTAAAATTTCACCAACAATTTCATTTATAGAACTGTTCATTGAATCATAATCGTCTAATTTTGTAATCATACTTGAGATTCCTGATCTGAAGTTTTCGTTATCCAGAATGTCTTTTTTCATATCATTCATAAAGTACCTTTTTTTCGGGATTTTATTATTCTCTGTACACGGCATGTTAGCGCTTCGCCATTGTTTATCGTCCTTGTGATCAATGGGTTTACTGTAATGTACACTCGGCGATATATTAATGGTACAGCATAACAATGAATGATCTGGCTTATTTTTTAATGGTAACATTAAGTTAAATCGTTCAGCCAACTCACTAACCAATAAAACATCGAACGATGTAAATAAATCAAAGTACAGTAAATGTGTGAAAAAATAATCAACTACAGATTTACCTATTTTCGACAAATACGTACAATTATCTAAACCCTTAAATCTACCATTAACTACACACATATCGCTATCATGCAAAAATTCTATAAAATATTTACCATACTTATTTTTAACATCGTCAATAACCGATCTTTCTGGAATATGTACAGGTAATGAATCATATGCAATATCATTTAAATTTCCTATTCTACCATTCACATCACCACAATAGAATGTAGGAAAATCATCATCAAATATGTGAGTAGTATATAAAAGTGTGTCATAAAAATGTTGAGCATTGTCACCTCTACTAGATCCTTCGGGGGATAAGTAGCATACACATACTTTAAAGCTATTGGTATCATCATTTTTATCTGAAAATTGCACAAGATAAATGTCATCACATGCTTTATACAATTCCGTCAGATTATACATATTCAAAATAGAGTCCTTAACAAGTATTCCAACGCCACCAGACCCCCGAGGACATCTTGGATTTATATCGTGTGACCTGTTGTTACCATACCACGTATACCCATCTATGTTAATACTTTCATCTTGCTTTAGGTGAGTTTCACAAAGGGCAATAATATCATAGCTTGTTGCTTTAATGACATCTCTTCTGAATGTCACTGAACTAACGTTGGATTCATACCAACCACCTATATTCCATTCTGCTATCGTTAAACGTCCATCATGATCACTTGGAGACTGGCTCCTGTCCTACCAATCACTAGTATCATTTCTCATCTCCCTGACATCATATTCATCATCATAATAGCGGCCTCTGAAGTTGTTGTTAGCTCCGTAATAGCCTCCTTTATGATCATCATTGTTGAAACGACCTCCGTAGTCAGGATGCTTATTATCATAGTAACGATCATAAGCAGGATAACGATTCCTGTCACTATTGTTGAAATAACGACGTCCAGAGTCGCGGCTCTCGAAGTGACGATCTCTATGATAAGCGTCATTATTGCCACCATTGGGATCTTCGAAATCTTCGTTGCCACGGTAACGCCCTCTATTCGGGTTATTTTGCTGTTGTCTGTAGTTGTCACGTGTAGAGCCTCTTTCTATTTGCAGCCTCCCACTATTGGTAAAAGAGTACGCTTTGTTTTCAAATCCGGGTATATTATTCAGTAGTTCCTTACAATTGATCTCAATCAATCTCTCCTCATGCGATTTTGACGGTAGGAGGTACACGTTTTTGAAGCGATCGTCATTCTTCAACATTTGCTTCTTTTTTAGAATTTCTATTTTGGCTTCCGGGTTTCTGACCTGCATTTTTACAACACCAGGCTTGTGTCTATATCGCTGTCGACACCTTGCAACATTTGAAATGATGTCAGGTGACATATTCAGGCCATCCCTCATCAATACCTTTATTTTTTCGGATATATTCTCATTTTCCTTTTGTGGAACATTTAGTACAATTATTGTCGTCTCCTTTTCAAATGGATATTCAGCCATCCGAGATGGCTTTTCATGAACATTATTGGGAGAATTTTGCTTTCTCTCATTACCCTTTACGGTAGCTTCCAATTTTTGTATTTTACATTCCATTTGGCTTATTTGCTCTTTATATTTACGTTCTATGTCGTCTAATCTATTCTCTAAGCTCTTGAGCTCTTTTTCAACTTTGTGTTCAAACACAAGACAGCCCTCCTTTACAGTTACAAATTCTCTTTTGATTATTCCTTCATATTTTGTTAACGTAGGTCTTATAGCGTCAAAAACTTCCTTTTTAAAGGATTTTAGTGTTTTCATGAATTCTTCAGCTTGCGAGTTCGACGAGGGGTCCGACGACGACGAGGGGTCCGTTGAAAATAGGTCAGGTGATATAGGAAGCTCATCTAATAGATTGTTATTGATAATGTTTATGTCATCATCCAATACACGCGGATATGTTGGACTGGAGGGACTATTCAGCTTTTGTTTTGCCTTGCGGCGATTACCTCTAGAGTTCCTTGGTTTCATGTTCACCGGTTATATTTACCACAGTTGCGAATTTTTACTTATGTAAATCTCCCGGGATATATTTACACTGAACGAAAAGATTCCTGGGCTACGTGACACATTCCATTACGTTATAGGCTTTTATATTGATTGGAAGAGGTCTCTTTTGCACTAAGCAGGGCCAAGGTCAACATTTTCCTCATTCCTCGTACAATGTTTTACCACCTGATTTGTCCAATAATTTCGACTTTCAGTAAATTATGATATAATTATATGACACTCCATCTGCCGAAAGTATGTTATTTTCCCAGTGATACGACCTTCTTGCCCTGACTCACCAATAATCAAATACGTATATCACCAGATACAGAAATTGTCTGCAATAAGTGCACGGATCGCCAGGTACTGATGTAGAAGTTCGATTTACACTGAGGCTCTAGTGTCCTGATATGTAATTTACTCCGGTTTCTAATGTTCCAATAGATTCATCCTAATGGTATCATCTCATGAACTTAATACAATAGTATTTGGCAGCGTTAATTCCGTTATAATTTGTTGACAAATGGAGCACAAAATAAAATGGTCTGCCATTTTGGAAGACCCCTTGGCGT